CCCACACACAGCCAGATCGAGCCCCCACCACCCTCACCCCACAATCTAGCCCATGGATGGGAACCACTAGTCCAGTTCGCAGGGTGAAAAGGTTGGGCACCACTAGTCTACATGTATGTCTATCTTACCTAAATCTTCCCATCTCTTATTGTAACCTAGACAGGCCAAACTTCTACAGACAATCCAGTAATGTTCAAGCCAAGTCAGTTTTTGTAGGGAGATCAAACTATCCCAACCGCATCCAAAGTGAGTCTTTTTAAACCATTAAAATTCTTTTGATCTTCTGTATCCCAGGCCTTGGACCTGCTACTCAAAACCAGTCTTGTAGGCTGGCTAGGGCCAGGTGATCTACTTCCAGCCAATTTACAATTAACAGGTTAGTCATTGTCTCTTTAGTGTTTACTGAGGAGGAGACATGTCTTATTCAATTCTTTTCCTCTTGCTATTTATTTTTTCTTGCTATGGTCTGATTCAAGTCAATTAAGGTATTTGTACGAGATGCATTCCTATAACCAAGCCATTGTACACCATTTCTATACTTTATGGGGGGTTTCCATATCATCACAGATTTGTAACTTCGTCCTCAAATGAAATTAGGAGTACTTGACGCTACCCATTTTCTAAAGAGCCTCTTGTCTTATTGCTTAATTTTTTCCATACCTTGCAATCCACAGCTATTGCACATCCCAGGGTAGGAATGTCCTGCCAAACTTAAACCAGTTTCTGATTAAATGCCTTTTGCTTTTCTCTGCAAGCAGAAAATCCTTTCTATTCGCATAGCTATATCTGGATGGGCAGTTTGCTAAGAGCTACAGTAGCTAAGGGGTGCGATTTCTTTGGAAAGAATCTTAGCAACATCAGTTCTCCTCAGCCACTGGAGAGGAGAATGGCTGACTTTACCAGTGACTTTACTGAGGCCCTTATTTATACCTCATTTGTGAAATGAGTGATAGACAGCTCTGTCTCCCAACAAGGGGTTGCAGTTCTTAAAATACACAGCAATATACACACAATGACTTGAAGGCAGCTCCCAAGTCATTTTGTCCAGTCTCCTGCTCTCGCAAGCAACCACATTGCAAAATTCCATCTAATGATCAGAGTAGATCCATTAAATTAGTTCAGACCTACCTATTTTCACCCCCTTTTCAATAGCTGGCAGCAGTGAGTCAGGGAGCAGGCAAGCCATTATCTGCATGTTCCAGATCTAAAAAAGGGTGCTCAAGACAGCCTCACAGTGATCCTGAGAGGTACAGAAAAGTTTAAAGCCAATGGCTGAGGAGAAAAAGGGATTGGAAGGGAAATGAGGATTTTCTGAGGCTTTTGTGTCTCCTGGTTTCTGACTACAAATCCCAGAACAAAGGCTTTATTTGCTGCAGCCCTCTTGATTTGCCTGGATATCTGCACCTGCACCAGGGTGCTTCAGGAAACATTCAATGCATGTCTCTGTTCCCAAGGAACAGCACCATGTGGCACCAGACAATTACCCTAGTCTTTGGCAGCATCTTCCGTATGCCGGCTGTGTTGTGCCTTGAAGCGTGCTGGAAGGACACATGAAAACAGCCAATTAACCAGGATGCAGTTTCACTCTGGATAATGCTACAAATGCAGTCTAACTGCTTGTTAGCAACCGTGGTCATGCTATAAAAAGACCTGACCAAAGTCTCAGCATTGCAGCTACTACCATTAGAAGAATGTGGCCAGCCATTTACCTCTACCCTTCGGCTGGACAGCAAATGAATCTGCAACATCCAGGGCTTTGAGGCCAAGAGATTCCCCGTGGGGCATTACATTGTTAGAAACACTGTCCTTTGGATAGAAAGTTTACATCAAGGACCACCCATTATTCACACTGAAATGCAGACAAGAATGAAAGAAACTAAGAGGGTCTTGGTGCCTCGTTAACACTCCCATCCCATAAGTTATCATCATCCTTCCTTAGGACATGTTCTATCTATCTCCAAGCCAACCTGTAGTGGAACGGCAGGGATTAGAAATCACAGGCTCTTGGCTGGGAGGTAGGAGAGATGCTTTCCCACCCCTATGACATTCAGCTAGCAATGCAAACAGACAGCTCAGGAGTTGTCAAGAGCATAACACCTAGCATAACTGACAGCATGCCAACTTAATCCACATGAGTGATTAGAACAGTAATGATAAAGTTTCTCACTCACCCAGTCACAGAGCATCAGCACACATGGGTGGCCCCACCTGCAAGGAGCAACCACACACAGAGCTGTTGGGTCATTCCCAGACACTCTCTCCATCCAAGCCAACATGCTCACTTGCTATGCAAGCAGCTCCCTGTAGCTCTGCAACCTGTTTCTTGCATGTACAGCTTCAAACACTGTAAGAGCCGGGCAAGATCAAGAAGCTCGGCCTGAGGACCACCATCTAAGTCAGACACAGATATAGGCTTGGATAAATGTCTCCCCTTCCTCCAGCTGAGGAAGAAACATGAGAGCAAAAGATTCCTTTGCAAAAGTCTTTAAGTGCCAATTCATGGTCAAGTCCACTGCAGGCAAGACAAGAGAGCACGAATGCTAACACAAAAGGGCTCAGAGCTGGAGTGCTCTTACCATGCACATTTGGACTTAGTCCTGATGCATGTATGGATCATGCCAGGCCAGTAGGGAGATGCAGGGCCAGTGGTACTAGAGGTTCCATGGGGATGGCCACCTCCTTCTGAATCGACTGTTCCTTTCTTCTACAGTCTGCCGTAGAAGTGCAGGAGAAAGGGGAAGAAATAAAAAATCTTTCTTCCTGTTAAAAATGGCCCTTTTCATTTTTATGTGAAGCCAGACTTGAAAGGATAAACTTTTAGGATTTTAGATTTACTGTAGCGAACAACCAAAAAAAGAAAGGCAGCAGGGTGGCTTCTGCATGGCATTCTCACTACTTGAAACAAAGTCATGAGATACCTGGTTGGAGACTGACCATCTGCCATGTACCACAAGGGACCTCTAGTATTATTATGAAAGAGGAAGGGGTGTTAAGCAAATCAATGTGGTGAGAGGTAGAGGAAAGCTGCCCTGAAAGTGAAGCCTACAAGCGCAGAGGAAGTGCTCTGCTGCTTTCACATCTGCATTCTGTTCTCTTTTTGGAACATCATCTCCAAATTTGGCTGCTGGTTGTTACTGCTGAGTGTACTCGTTCTTTGGAAAGAGATGTCCCTTGGGATGTTCTGAACCACAGGAAAACTATTGCTGGATGACACCGCTGCTGTGTCTGGAACCAGGAAACAAAATGGTGCATAACCCAGGGAAGCTGACAAAGGACAAACTCTCAGCTCCACCCTTTCCAAGGGGGCAAGGTTAGCACAGGGCAGCATCAATATTCAGTAACAAAGCATGGGGACCCAGAAATGACAAGAGCTGTGATATCTGGTAACATTATCAGTTGTTTCCAAAGGCATCATTTCCCTCTGCCTGTCCCTATCATCAGTATATGCAAACAGAACACCCTACTTGGCTGATTTACTTTGACACATGACTATAGAAAAAAGCCCTGATATGATGCCAAGAGGTTAACTGAACAGCTGCTACCACTCACTGCATCCCTCTAACTGGATGCACACATTCAAATATCTTCCCAAAAATACCAGACATAGAACACACAAGTCTATGAGCATTTGACTATCAAATGATATAACCTAATGGGAATTAAGTACCCAATTTCTGTGGTGAGGCGGAGGCAATTTAGGCAAGAAAATTCTAAAAAATTGTGCTACTTTTTACCCCTTCCTGCAGATGTACATGAACAGGAAATACAGCAAGTATCTTCATCTTCAATGAAGGCTGAGACATGATGCAGTCCAAAAGATTAAAAGTTTTGGGAGGAAGAACTGAGAAGAGATCTGATCTGAATGGTAGAACTCAACTAGTATTAAAGGCAAAGGAGATAGCTGAAAGCGTGAAAAATAGTAAAAGCCAGAAAAACAAAGGAGAGATCAGAGAGCAAAAATTACAGGCTTGGAGGTCACAGAAGCTACCTTTTCACAGCCACCTCATGAATAAAGGAAGATCACATTAGCTTCCTCTCCCTGTTTCTCTGAAGATGTCATAACTGGAATGACTGTAGCCAATTATAGGTTTCTTAATAGAAATATGATGTTACAGATGACAGGGAACCTTGAAAACGGAAAGAGGAAGAACTGAAGAATATTTCCTTAAAACTTAAAGTTATTTACATGCCAGCTACGGAAGGCAAGGTAAAGAGTATGAAGCAGTGAAAACAGCACTGGGAGAGGCAATCAGACTTCTTGCCAGATCAGCTAGTGTGGGTTCCTATATAATACAGGCCAGAAAAATGGCAGCCATTTCAGTAGCAACCAGGAATCAAGTTGTAAATGCCGACTCCCTTTCAGATGGCCAATTCCGAAATTGTGTGTCAATGTAAGTGGTAGGAAGCCTTCTTCCAAAGATGTTTAACAAACTAGAATGGATTAAAAACCATTGGACATTATGCTGCATGGTAGAGAAGAATCCAACATTTGCCTCTGTATGCTAGCCAGGATGATCTTGATTAAAGCTAGTGGAGTGCTTTGAAGATGTGGATTCACCAGGGGAAAAGGGAGGGTATAGCATGGGACTTAGGGGCAGACAACCCATATTCTCTTCTCAGCTCCACTAGAAACTCACGGTAGGACCCTGTATAAAATGTTTAGGCCCACATGTTCAACTTTGGGTGTCTAATCTTGAGATGTATACCTCCAATTGATTCTAAATTACTATGGCAGTCCTTTCAGACTGCAAAATTCAGATCTTAGGCATCTCAAATAGGCAACCTACTACAGAAGCCCCTTAGCTTCTGTGCCTGAATTATCTGCTCCATACCATACTTTCTCACTGGGGTATCATGAAGTGCTTTGAGGTTCTCTGACTGAAGATGTGGCTCAGCCAATCCTCTCTTTAATCATATCTTTACTGTCACTCTGTGGTGGCTGGGCACCATTCAGAGACAACAAACAAGACCAAGTTATCATGAATTTCCACAATTCCCAATTCCCCACAGCTAATGGAAAATGGGTCTCTAACAGAAAGGGAATCTTTTGCTTTAGACTTTGTGGAATATTACAGATCTGTCATCAGAGCAGAGTTAACTGAAGCTATATAATATTACTGCCATTCTAATGGTGCTGATGGGAGAAAGAAAACAAGGAAAAAGAGCATGCCCTCAAAGTGTTTTGAAGTTGACAATTCGGATGTATGAGAAGATCTTTTCAACTTTTCAACAACAGTAAAATGAGCAAGACCATATCTGAACACCCCATTGAAGACAATCCCCCTCCCACTGACTGGTGACATGGGTTTGATATTGGCTCCATGGAAAGACTACACCATGCAAATCTTAACCACACGTCCTAGAACAGCATGGTATATTTGCTTGAAGGCTAAGTCTGAAATGTACTGGATCACAACTCAAACAACAAGCAGATGGAGAGGAACAACTTTATTACACTCAAACACTTCTGAACCACACTGGTAAAATAAAATAAATTGAAGCTTGTAGGTTGGGAGGAACATAACTGCAGGTAGGGGAAGACTTGGCAGATGCCTCTAGGTGACATCTGAAGCTTAGCAACCTCCCCTGGCTCAGAGGAGGTATTGGCCTGTTCTATTCTGAGATCCAGACATCTCATTTATGAATACTACAGCCGAAGGGTTCATTGCAGTTGGAAGAGCTGCCCTTAGTGGTCAAATCAGCATTCCTGTCCCATAGCAGTGCAGCAACTTCTCAGTCATAAAGCCACATTCCAACAAAAAAGGAGAAAGACCCACAAACTGCACAGTGCAAAAGAAGAGAGTTCAGTTCTGGTTAAGTGTTTCATAGGGACCAGTTACTGTCCCAGGAATCAGAATCCAGAGACTCACAGCTGGCCTAACTTCACAGTACTGCTGAAACGCACCTTTCTGACCTCTCACAGGAGGTGTTAGGGAGCCCCTCCAGCAAATATGAGTTCCAAGGCAGCCTGGATGTCCCCTCCAGTGGCTTGCAGGGCTCGGAGACTTAGCTCATCATCATGTATGCCCATGTCTCGCAGCTGCTGCAACTGTGGCTGCCACTGGCTCTGCAGAAAAAAAAAACCAAAAATTTTATGGGGATCTGACAGCATCCAAGAAATCAGAGGGTTCTTCACTCAACCTAATGCCACATAATTTCCCTACTGCATCTGTCGGGCATGGAGGTATACCTTGTTTGGCTATCACCATGGCATCTAAAACACCTCCTGCTGAGAGCTCCCCGTCACCCATTTTTCCTGCCCAACACACTTTAGGTACAACCTCTGCCAATTATCCAGAGCATCTGTATTATTCCCTATTGCATCACTTACTGGGGGCTTTGCTTAGCTAGGGAGACATCTTTCACCATGCCCTCCTCCAAGTGGAGGCTGCAAGTGAAAAATCCTTGTTCTGCTAAGGTGGAGAATCAGAAGTAGGTCAAAGATCCAAAAAATGAGAAAGAAGGCTACTGACCTGAAGGTTAGGCTGCCCAGAGGCCTGCAGGGCATGTTGCAGGGCTTGGCTGAAGAGGTCATTGGTGATGGGGGTTCCCGATTGGACACTGGAGGACATTGGAGAGGTTCCTGATGAGTGACCCTGCAAGAAAGGAGATCATGCTGCTGTGATCCACCCACAGTTTGAGTGGTAGGTCCACAGCAATGCCTCTTCCAGCCCAAACCATAGCCCCCCTCCCCCTAACATGCATCTCATAGACCCCCAACGGTACAACACAGCACTGGTCCACAGACCTGAGCAGTGATTGGCTATTAAGGATCAGTACCTCCATACAATTTATGCAGGCAAGAGGAGCTCCTAGATGTTGTGCTGTTACCGTACCTGGGTCCCAGGAGTGGGAGTGTGGGAGCTGCTCTCTGGGGTACTGGCCAGGGCCAGTGCTGTAGCCAGTTCGCTCTGTGTGATGGGTCGGGGTCCAGCAGCCCCAGTGTAGCCAAGCGATGCTGGGCGAGACCCTGAAGTGCTGCTGGATGGGGTAGACCTTGTGCTCTGCCACAACAAAAGAAAATCCACCTGTTAGTGTTTGCATTTCGTTGAAACTCAGGTTGTACTTGGGATTCCAGTGACCTGATGCTTGGAGCTGCCCTCAGAACTAGTGGTGCTCAGAAAATGAAGGCCTGATGACATGCCCCCCATCCAACTCTAAATCCTTGATGTCACCAGCCAAACTCTCCCACTAGTGACCAAGGCCATTATAAGGCTTTTGGTAGCAAGGAGATACAGATGCCCTGTCTTAGGCACTGCAGTACTAACCACAAAGAAACAATGCTCCAGAGTCACCTGGGACATCCATTGCTCTCACAAAGACAGAACAGACAAAGGAAGTGAAACTGGACACGGATCTGACAAGGTGACTTTAATCCAACACTTCCAGCTAGGGCATGTGTTAAGCAGAGCGAATGACCATACTTACAGTGGGTCTATCGACAGATGATGGGTTAAATAATTACCATTTCCAAACAGGTCAGCCTAATGATTCTCTATCACTGACATGATTCAAAGTCACACAGATGGACTAAAACACACTTTAAAAACAAACAGCCTCTTCCTCTTCCCAGACTTGCTGTCCCAGGAGCTGCCAAAGCTATTCTAAAACTCTAAGCTATATCATTAATGTGGCTATGTTCGGACTACAACCTAAGGATTATCAACAAGGTACCGGACAAATGATCATTGTCCAGTAGAGTTCTCACCCCCACCTCAGGCCTGAATACTCAAACTATTTCCATCACAAATACCTTGTCCTACTGCAGAGAACCTGCAGCATTGCACTGTAGAAGAAACAGATCTCCACAAACAAGGCAGGTGACTGTGAACCAACTCCTGTCCTTCCCAGCCACATAAAAGTACAGCATAATACCAGCACAGTAGATTCTATTTTATTGCACCCTGATTATGAACAACTTTCCAGCAATACAAAACTTTTGCTATCTATTCAATTTAATTTTGCCTGGTTATTTGCAAAGCAACTCTTGGAATATTGCATAAGCCAAAACTAGATAAAAGGAAGCCAAGGACAGGTTAATTGGATATCACAAAGGTTAAGCTGAGTAAGGTATCAGTCATATCAGAGCACTCATTAAGCATTCTCTCTAAAAGAAAGGGTACTAATTTGTTCCCCAGAGGAAAGTTCAAAGTTATGAAGATCTTGGATGAAAAATTATCCCAGACAGAGATAGCTTAGAGACAGATATTAAGAATAGCAGCCAGATGGGTTGAAATAATCAGCAAGTACGAGACAAATGCAAACCCTTCCTGAAAATATCAGACAACAGGCAAGGCTGCAGGCACTGAGACTACTTTGGCACAGTTCTTATTTACAAGTGGAAAAACTAAAGACATTCCCACATCTGGACAAGGGCTAGAAGAACAACTGAAAGATTTCACCTGGCACCTACACTAAGTCCTCACTCCAATGAAAAGATGGCTTTCTTGTTGGAAGGAACACAATAGCATCTCCATTAAAAGGTCACATGGAAAAGCCAGCTGATGACCTAGTGCCAAACATTAGCCTGCCAATGCTCTACCCAACATTCTCAAAATATACAAATCCTGAAGACAAGTAACAACATGGAAGAGACCAACATTTACTATAGAGCTCTTCCAGATGCATCATTGATCTTTAAATCAGATGGCATCAGCATCCATAAAGAGACAAAGGACACACTGACTGTGCTGGTGGTCTCAAACATGCAGGAACAAATAAGAATTACGTGATGCTGACAAATGTAAAGAACCCAGGTGTTTGAAGAGAAAAAGCAGCTTACCAGTCTTATAAGGCCAACAAAGACTCATAGAAAATTAGGGTTGCAAGGCACCTCAGGAGGTCATCTAGTCCAACCCCCTGCTCAAAGCAAGGCGATTCCCAACTAGACTAAAGCCATCACAGATGGCTGGGGTATTTTCCTAGATCAGCTGGGAGATTTCAACCATGACATTAAACAGTAATCCCAGCAGTCTGCAATCTAGGCCCCGAGGCTGGATCCAGCCTGAGAAAAGGTTGAATCATGCCTGAGACAAGTCAGACCTGGCCCCAGGGTAGCATGGAGCACGAGGTGGTACAGAGCTCCACCAAGCCATCCATCCCCTCTGCAGTACCCTCCTCAGCAGCCCTCCCTGCTGATCTTTTCTGCCTGCATTTATCATCACTGTAGAGAGGCTGGGTAGCTGCAGCAAGGGAAGTACAGGTAGCTTGATCTCTCCTGGGGGCAGAGATCTGTGGCAGGGAGCTGGGTCCAGCCAGGACCCCTGCTATGCTCTACTTATTGATAACTGCAGTGTCATCCAGCTGACACTTCTGAAAGACTGAACAATCTAAAACTGATTTTCCTGCCCCCTAACACTATAGCAGTTATTTACCCATAGGACCAGGGAGTCATTGAAAGTTTTAAAATGACATTACCAAAGCTATGTTGTACAGATGATCATCTCAGATTCAGGTGCTAATTCAGAGGTGAGTGCCAACAAAATGTGTGCGCGAGGGCGGGGAAAACGGAAGGAAGACAACTAACACTTTTAGATGTGCTACATTCAGGGACGGACGCAAGGGGGGAGGGAGGTATACTGGTGCACATACACCCCCATTTAATTCCTAGTCTATCCAGAGTCTAAAGGCAACTGCCTGGCAAGGGCACCAGCACTTCAATTAAAGCAGCAGTGAGGGAGTTAATTGATGTAATGGCTCATTATAATTTGCTTGATTCCTTCTAAACTCTTCATTCCACAGGTGCAAAAGACCCTCCTTCTGTCTTTAATGATTCCACTACTCAAGTTATCTTTGCTCCTGCAATGTTGCCGTCTGCTAATGTAGCTCCCATTTCACAGCCCTGCAAATTGTTTTTTTTTTTTTTTAAGTCTAGCTAAAAACATTAACTGGGGGTTGGGGGTGAAGGGAATATTAACTCAGGTGAATATTAGTTCAGGTGTGTAAATCACTTTCAATGAGACACTTGAAGTACTGCCTAGAGGCTCAAGGCGGCTTGATTTTGTTTTGTGAATCTGGAAGAGATGTAGTTTTAAATATAGTATCTCTAGGACTAATGAAACAACAGCTTTGGATTTTTTTTACCTAGTCTGTCATGTTTTTACATATAATACATGATATAGACAATTAAAGCACATTCCAGTAAAGTTTTATTTTATTTGGTACAGGAGGTAGCTAAGGCATTAAACATTAAATGGAAACTCCATACTCCATGAAGACCACAAAGTTCAGGTCAGGTGGAGCGCATGAATAGGACTGTCAGGCGCTCCCACTGGCCTTAACTCGTATCCGCAGCACACCACGTAGAGGGATAAAATTGTCCCCTTTTGAGCTAATGTTTGGAACACCTCCCAGGGTCTTGCCAGC